GTAAACCTGCACTCTGAGAGTGAAGTGCTCTGTTAGGATGATAAGGCTCTACGAGGTCTTTAAGATATGATGGAGCCTTGTCATTAAGGGCTTTGTATGTTAGGAGAAGGATTTTAAATTCTATTCTGAACAATCTTACTGTATTTACATTTATGCTTAGTCAGTAGATTCCTCTAGGATTTGATGTTGCCCACCCTGGCTCCAGGGATACATTTGACTATGACCGCCGGTGTCTCTAGCTTCATGTTTCTGACTATGAAGTCGCAAATTGTTGCAAATTTTCTCAGCGGGTGTGTCGCTGAGTGGGGAAAATTGATTTGAAACATGAACAGGCAGGTGATGCACTGTGGGTATTTCTTTCAAGGTACGACTCTTGCAAACTGTCACCCAGCCACCTGGCTGAGCTCCCGGCTGCTCGGAAAGCACTGGGGGCGGCTAGCTTGTGCTAAGCTACGCCTAGGAGGCCCCACACCAGCTACATGGGCCTGGCTAGCTGGGCTGTTTTCCATGGTGCGGAGCTGTGCTTCTAAATTGGTCATCCTCACCTTCAATGCTGCTAGCATCTGACATTTTACATTTTACAAGTACCATTATTGCTAAAGGAGGCAGAGGAATAAGTGAACATGCGATACTCTGAGCAAGAAAAAGGAGAGGAAGAGGGGGAACCTACTATCTTAGCTAGCAACCTGACCTAAAGTAACAAGTTCAATTTTGAAAATTAGCAAGATATTCTGTAACACAGGTGCTTAAGTAGTGCAGGCAGATGTTGTGACTCAATAGATAAACCTAGAAATTAGTGAGCTTAATCCGTAAACAATCTGGCAGCAAGCACAACACGGTGCAGGCACAGTAAACAGGAAGTGAATACGATTACCACAGGAATTACATCAATTAATTTCAAATCAGTTCGTTTCAGCCATGACGATCTTACTGTGAATGTAGTGCTTCTGTGCTCTGCATATGAATCAATGCAGCCATTGTATCTGTGGATGCCATCAGGCTGAACCTTTGGCCTGTAAGAGACAGAAATGACGAGGTCTGACCCCGATCCTCCACCAGGGACGCTCTGACCACAGGATTAAACAGCATTTATTACCATTCTGCAACATGTGTGTTCACTCGGTTCTCTTGCTCTGTGTGTGTGTGTGTGTGTGTGTGTGTGTGTGTGTGTGTGTGTGTGTGTGAGTGCGTTCACCTACCTGTGGCAATCAGCTCCTGTCATCACTCAATCCAGTGGCCATGACATGTCTGTCTGATCCATCAACCTGTGTGCACATACATGTCCATATCTGTGTGTGTGTACCTACATGAACAAAATCACATACATCCGGAAAATGGTTCTCAGTGTACATCTGTGTACAGCCAGAACAGTGAACAAATCAACTGTGAAACTATCTTAATCTCACCTCAGGACATAATATGTAACAGACTGTGCTGAATTCAGTGTCAGGCTTTAAGCAGCAACAAGGGGGTTGAGATTTAAAGCCGCTAATCTTGGTTTCAGCTTGAAAATGAAAAACTGAAGCCTGGGTCACATACAGAAAGAAATCTAAATCTTTTCCAATCCCCGCTTTGCTCCCTGGTGTAATGAACAAGAGACATGATTCCAGATATAAATTGCAGCAAACTTAATGTATGTGTCCCCTGCAGGACATCGGTGTTGTGTGGCTTCATCTTGAATCTTCTTGATCTCAGGATGAAAGACATCAGTGAGCTGTCTGTTCCAGTCTTCAGCTGAAGTGACTGATAATCAGCCGGACGTCTGTTGTCTTCATCCATTAGATCATTTCAGCTTCAATGAATACCAAAGGAAAAGAAATATGAGGCAGTATATGAGGTAAAAATACAGAGGATTTCAGCCTAAAGGAAATCAGCCAGAAATTGTGGTGTTTTGGAGAAAGGTTTGGAAACATGTTTATTCTTCACCAAGGACATTAAGAATATCTTAACAGTTATTTACCTCTATACATGTAAAAAGATATACACTGGCAGCTTTGACATTAAGCACAGAGGAACAGTAATCAAGAATATTATCTGATTTATAACAATTTAAAAAAAAAAACGCTACCTAGAAGTTGGTGCCAATTTCTTAAAAAATAATCTGTAATGAAATCTCAAACACCCTAAAGCAGCTGTTCCCATCTTTTTTCTGCTGATATACCTCTGATCACTATCTGATGAACTCAGATACCTCTTCTTCTACATGTGTTTTACACAACATTCTGATATTACTCTAGGTTGTGGCTAACAACCACATAAGGCATGAAAACAATATTAGTCGTGTCAGACATTTTGCTAAATGAGACAGGGGTGTTTAAAATGCACAGCAGTCATAAAATCTGACCTTACAGATTTTACAGAGGAGTTAAATGAGGAACCTTTATGAATCTGTGGCCACAAGGTACTGTGTATGTGCTTCAAACACAGATCAGACTGACACCTGTTTTACCTTTGCTTGAGCTAGTAAGACAGCATTTTAAGAAAGTGACTGTCCGAAAACTAGAGCTACACCGTCAGCCCCTCTGAACACAGATCTCCAGGTCTATCAGCCTGACTGCATTCATCACAAAGAGAAGGACCACATCTACTGACACAGAGCTGGACTGCCTGCTGGATTGTAAACTCCATTGTTTTGGAGTCAACCTGCACTGTGTCTAATGGCTTTCAGAGGACCTGGCAGCAGTACAAGTGTAGACCTAACTCAAAGGGAAACTGTACGGTTTACCCAGTCAGACATGGCGGAGGGAGTGTAAAGTGTGTTGGGGCTGTTTTGTTTGAGGTGATATGTGGCAAAGGTATGAGAAGAGACAGAGAACAGCAACAGAGAGAGTGTTTGTGAGTGATGTGTGTTGGCAGGGACACTGAATATCTCAATATTTAAATACAGGCCAAAGACTGTAACGAAAACACACAGGTTGATTTTAATCATCTATCTCTGTATGCAACTATAACTGTTTACAAACAGCTCAGTTTGACCTTAGTCAAAGGTTAACTAAGATGTTAAACATGCTAGAGGAGATTTCCATTACAGAACTTCGACCTCTTTCACAACAGCACCTGCTCCATGTTTTGTGCCAAAAAGCAATCTAGCAGATTTCTTCTGATTTAATCTGAGCAGATGGCACAGTGTTCTGAACGGAGACATCCATCATTTGGAAACTGATACTTTTGCTGGAAAAATTGTCAGTTTGAGGAGTGATGGAAAGCCTACGTCTTAGCTTTGAAAAGTGATATTTCAGTATTTTATATGGTGATGTATAAGTTAGGTACTCATCTGCATTCCAACATAGTTTAAAATAAAAAGCATGATTTCATTTAACATAGAAATTATATAATTGGCTGAATAATACACATAAAAAATGCATATTTTGCAAAGAAGATAAACAGTTGAATAACATCACACATAAGGCAGAAGGACTTCAATAAGAATTTACAAGAAGTTACAGTATAATGAGAAAAGAGGCCAAATTAAACCAAGATTTTAGGAATCTGTGAGTATGAATTTTCAAATGAAATATTTCTCCCAGCCTAAACTTAAGAGAGAAGGAAGCTCTCTGCTGATCTGTTACCATCACCAGGTCCCAGGCACAACTTCAGTTCACTTGCTGGATGCTCCTCTTTGTTTTGCTGGTTAAATTTAACATTTGTGTAAGAAAAAAAACTCTCCCCTGTCTTCATCAGTCTGAGGACCTTAAGGCCTGGGCTGAACCTCAGGGGGTCAACACTCGATATTATTGTCTGATCACTGTGCAGGACTGTCTTTTGAAATCAGGCAATTTTAGCTAATTATTCTTTCTGCAGGTAGTTTGGGCTTTAGATCAAAGTGAGGACCAGGTGTGGGGGAAGTGATCATAGCAAACAGACAATTACTGAAAAAAATGTAAAATGATATGCATAACAATAGAAATGTACATTGTTTTCTAATTTTACAATAGTAGCATTGCAATAATTTGTTTTAAAATAAAGCATTTGATTAACAGAATGTAGAGATAAAACAGTGTCATTCAGTGTCACTGTGTAGCAGTCTTTGTGTTGATACATGCAATAAGGATATAAGTGTACTGTAAGTTGTTAATTTTAAAAAGTATATACCCTGAAAATATCTCCATCCTGTAACATCATTTTGTAGGCAAATTAGTATCAGCTGGATGCCCTACATTACTTTGCATCCTACTTATTTGCCTGTTGTCCCTGAGTTTGTCAGGTTTGCTTCAGGTGCCTGTGTTTCCTGCAGCAGTCTGACATGTAGAGACAGTGAGAGAATGCAGAGATCTGCATGCACACAGATCAGCTGGAGGCCAGACATTTACACGGACAGGAAGGCAGGTGCTGAAAGTAATTATGAGAAATAAAAGTGCTCTCCACATGTTTGGTCAATACACGCATGTAGGGTCATGTTCTGCTGTTTCCCTGCAACTGATTATTCCTGAAACCATGAACCAGTGAACCTGAAAACTGCATGTACACCTTACCACCATAAATTCCTCATGCCTGGGTCATGGATAGTGGTGCCTGGGTGGGTTTGTAGCAAGATGATGACTGGACAGTGGGTCTTCAGATCTTCAGTTAATTTTACACTGTTTAAGGTGAATTCACATGTGTTTGCCTCCACTCAGTTTAGTTTCAGTGAAAGAACTGTGGTTACACCTGTAAAAAAACTGGAAATGAAAACTGATTTTAGATCAGTATTCTGAGAGCCTTGACATAAATATGCACTGGATTATTTATGTAGTAAACAGACTTGACATACCACACATACTTGATTCACTTCTTTTGTTGAAGTAATGCTGATGTAGACGTCCTTACACAGTCCTGAGTCTGAGTGACTGTTATACCCAGGCTACTCTTGTGCAGCAACATGAAATTACTTGTCTGACATGAAAAGGACAGAGAAGACCCCCCCCCACCCCAGTTTGAGTTTGTTTGGATTTCTATGGCTTCAGAAAGAGAAAGAGAGAGTAAATAGTTTTGCAGGAAGAGCGAGGGAGCGAGCATGTACAGTATATGTGCTAAGATCTCTTTTATCTGTCACTTAGCACAAAAACCAGCCTGTAATATCATTCTGTGAACAGGGCCCAAGTGTAAAGTCTGTATTTTCAAACTCGACTATGAGGGTGGAAAGTAAGGTGCAAAACTGGAAAAAAGAATACAACACAAAAATAAAGGGCAAAAACTTTAAAATGAAGGCTTGACAGCATAAGTAATCAATCATCAGTCAGATCCTGGCTTATGTTGATGTTCTGTCATTTTTCACACTATATTAGGGCTGATTCTAAAAACTGATGGTTCATTCCACTTACATCTACGATACAACGGACACAGTTGACTGGCCATGGAAGTTCACAAAACAAAATATTTGAGTTTCTGATCAAATCAGACTGTGATTCACAAGTCTGGAACCTTGTCAGTAGTAGGCTAAAAAAAAATAAATAAATGAAATCATGTCCTAAGTGGCAGCACTAGGATCAATCCTTCCTTGTATATCCACAGCAGGTTTTATGGGAATCAGGCAGTGATACAGTGTTCTACAGTAGGTATGTACCTCACCATGTCATGGCAGTATGATGAGTACGTAATAGACCGCCATCCTCACGCTAGTGATGAGGACGACAATAAATATGTCATTTTCCTATTTGACCCCGAGTCTGCGTGTGTCTCAAAGTGGATGTGTTTGTGTATTTGTCCGTTTTCAGTCAGCAGGTATGAAGCAGCATTTTTAACTAACCTACTCATACAGTACACACACAAGTATGACACAAGGAGGTATGTAGCTCTTGGCAGCCTTTTTCAGAGTAATCTGGTGATACTATCCCTGTCACTACTTTATAAACCTCGAGTCATATTGCGTCTCTTGGCTTGGGGCTGACTTGGCATCTGTTCAGGCGCGATGCTTTCCAGGTTTCTGTCAGAACTTTTCCAGAGGGACTTCCAAGAAAAACACAAATAAAAGAAGCATTTCCTTTGCCCTAGATACAATTGTTCCAGAAAAATATTTATCCTGACCACTGTTTAGGATAAACAAGAAAGACTGACCTCAACTTAGTGGTTAACAATATTTGTATAAAAAGGTACTACTATCTAATTGGTCCAAAACTGTTGGGGAGAAGCTGTGGTTTAGACTTAACTCTCCCGTTATTGGTCCTTCAGTCCGTCCGTCCTCTCTGCTCCAATCATCGTGGACAGCGCCCTAGAAAGGAGGAAGAATACCTGTTCTACTTTAATTCCTACATACACACTCACTTCTTCCTTTGTTTTCACTTAATTAAAACTGTTCTGCCTGCATGTGTGTGTGTGTGTGCATAACTGTTTTCCCTTTGAAGCTTTCTCATCTACGTCTAATCTATTTTAATAAACTTGGAGCCTTACCGTACCAAGACTCCTTTGGGTCCACCGGTCCAGAGGAATGATACGTAACTATGAGCCCCCTTAGCTACAGCCATAAATCTAATGAAATTCAGTAATTTAGTGGACAAGACTTATGATGTTGCATTAGTGTTTCAGTGACTCACACAGCAAATATTTGACCAGTGGTTAAGTGAACACATAGGGTGATATTCATAACTATATAAGCATAACTGTGATATATAAGCATGTAAACTTATGTGTGTTATAAAATAAAACCATTCTTAAGTGCATAAAATAAAAATCACCCTAACATAAGCCACAACACTGCATTAGAGCAGCTGAGCACAGAATGATTGTTGAGAGACGCCTGATGACCTCACAGTCACAGACTATACAGCTGTTTATACAGGCTGGCTCCCCATGGGTATCACGCCTCTCAGTTTCACTCACTGACTGGGATGTTCTCCTGTAAGTCTAATCCACAGGCAAAGTTTATCTTAGTGCACGAAGTTCTGATATTACAATGTGGTCTGGAAGTCTTACCTGGAAAAGTTGAGACAAGTTCATGCAAAGTGTAAACAAACACGGTGTGCACTGATACGATACTGTACGTATATGAATGTGATCGGACTGAAGCCAAAAGTGGAAACACAATCTGTGTTTGTGAGGAAGTACAGCGCATGAGAACTGTTACAGATCGCCTGCGAGTTTCAATTACAATTGGCTGCAAACACGACTGCAGCTGAAATGAGGTTTTTGATTTCGCTGCCTGTTACCTAAGAGTTGTAAAAGACGACCCTTTCTGCCTGTAATGAACTGAGAATACAAGCTGATGTGTGGGGTCTGAAAAGACAAAAGCAAAAATGTCTAAAGAGCAGCATCTCTGCTGTTCTGGTGGCTCAGCTGACAAGTCAAAGGAACAAAACTTTTAAAAAGAAGATATGATGGCTTTAGACATGACAATGCAGAACTCCAGTCAAAATCAAGTGTAAACTGAAAAAACACATGAAGTTTACTTAAAAAACTGACTCAATTTAAACTCATTCATCATGCATTATACATTAATTGATTAATATTCCTGTGAAAATATCTAATATTGCTGATAACAGGAGTAAATTTATACTGTATTAGGCCTGAAGGATGAAAAGAGGCTTGTTGACAAATTACTTTATTGATAGTTACCGAAGAAGTTTTAAAAATATTACTGTCAGGCCGAAACAAATACAGTCAAACACTCTGGATCGGCTGTGTGTCAATCTGTTTATCCACATGTAATTTTATCTTCTATTTCATCCATTTACCTTGGTGCTCTCCCCTTGGTCAGGTCAGATGGCAGTAACATTCTGTCTAAAAACATATTTTAATTTCATCAAAACAGGGAGGACATGGAGGGTCAGACTGAACAGATGACTAAGAATTTTAATTTCCATTATCACTGCACGACATGACTCCTCTGTCAAGTTTCCAACCAACCAACCAATTATGTCGAGCTCTACGGACCAGTTCAAACTGTTCTTAAGTCTTTTTAACATCTCAATAACAACCACGTGTCTGTTTGAAACGATTTCCTGTTTTCTCTGCGAGTCAGTGAGTAATAACCTGGAGGTGCTTGTCACACAGTGAAATGTCACAACAGCAGCTGTGCCGCCTTCCCTCATGATAGTTAATTAATAGGTCACATAAACAGATGGATGGTTGTGTTCTCAGTTCTTCACAAACTTAAATGGCTCATTTTCAGCACTTCACCAGTTCTGATAGCTACAGTATTTATCAGTGGTGACTGATTTTGTCTTTTGGTGCAACAACTTTATACTGACATACAAATACAATTTAAGTGACCCTGGGTGCGTTCACACCTACAGCGTTTAGTTGGATTGAATCGAACTAGAGTTCGTTTTCCCTCTTGGTGCGGTTCGTTTTGTCTGGTGTGAACACGGTAATCGCACTCGAGTGCGCACCAAAACAACCGCACCGAGACCCCCAAAATGAGGTGGTCTCGATCCGCATCATCTAGCGAACTCTGGTGCGGTCCTCCTGGTGAGAACGCGTACCGAACCAAAACGGGACCAAAGGCCGTGAATCACATGATTTGAGGGCATTGGATTATGGGTAGATTTTATTTCCTGTCACCCAAAACATGCGCAAGGATGAATCGTGGGCAAACTGTACGACTTTGTTTAAGTGGAAAATGCAAGTAACGTAATACAAAATAACCAGGGCGAGGCCCAACCCGCGTATGTTGACCTCCATCCGCTCTCGTCACAGAAACGTGGACTTTCTTTATTTACTTTTTCTGTTCTCGCGGCAGACACATCTGACCAATAATCTCGCGTAGTTTTACATGACGTGTTTTGGTGCGCTTGGATTTTTCTGTGTGTGAAACGAAACCGAACCAAGGAGACATTGCAACGTTTACAAACTCGTCAACTGATTCGGACCAAAGCAAACGAATTAAGGTGCGAAAGCAGCCCCTTGATTGCATTTTCTCCAAATATCTCTCTGAAGTGTTTCAGTAAGCCTTCATCATGATACTGTATCTTTCTGTAATCAGTTTATGAGTGCCGGTATCTCCCCCATCATGTTTATAGCTAAAGAGATGAGAGCATCTTTTGTCAGATGGGCTTGAATGTCATGATTCAGAGGCTCAAGCAGTTGATTTCAGCTGCTAAAAATTCTCTCTGAATGATCTGCAGAACAGCATATCGCATCAGAGTACACTTGGCTGTGAACATACAGTATCAGTGGAGAAACTGGAGCAGTGTGAAACGGTGACAAACTGTTACAGCTGATAACATACATCCAGTCTGCATGAAAGATACCGCCAATGAGGCCAAGTAAGTGAAAACTCCTTAGAGCTGCACAGAATGCAGGAACAGAGCTCACAACATCTTATCAAATTTATTTTCCTGAGTTCGAGGCATCTTCATGCCGACTGCTGATGAACTCAACTGATTTGAGAGCTTGAGTCTTGACTCTTATCCAGACTGTTGACCTCTAATTTATGCTAATCTCAATTCAAATTATTGGCTTTAAAACAAGTTGCATTAAAAAAAATTCAACAATTTAGGAAATGTACCTATTCAAAAGATTGATACTACTGCAATATATATGAAGTTATATGACCAAAAACTGGAAGCAGAGGGAACAGTGACACGGCTCTGTATGAGGGTAACAAAGGGTAAATCCCAATTCCCTTATTTGCATCCTGGTTTACCTCACTTGTCTTTTCCTTGTGTCTTAGTCCCACCCATGTATGATATGAGGTAAAGCTGCAAGGAGAGAGGAGAGATGAATAAAGGAAACATGTTTTAGACACGAGACATCCTTTCCTCTATCCTCAGAGCATGAATAAGAGCTTTGGCACATCCTTCAAGATGGAGAACTGGAATGACTTCTGGGTTGAGTGAGAATCAAGGAGCGAGGAATGATCAAATAAGGTAATTGGGATGCACCCAAAGTAAACCTATGTGCACCTCTATAGATCACAAATAAACACATTATGTTGCATTTGTTTAATCAAAAACTAAAGTGTAAAAGTGACAGTAGTGATTGTGGGGGTTACTGTATGTCCCAGACTTTCTTGGCAGGGTGAAGACTGGGCGTGGTCTCTCCAGGAAGACACTAAGCCTGGCCAAAAAAAAAAAAAAAAAAACTGTCCTGCGCAGAGTCTCATCTTTTGTTCAGATGAGTGTGGCATGAACTAATTACCTAACTCTGCAAAGAAGCAAACAAGCATACTTAAAACACTAAATATGTATGAACATGTATTGTAAACAACCTCATTTACTTTCTTTTTGTTTCACTTCCTTAAACAAATTAGACTCCTCAAACAAACAAGCTGTTGAGACAGATTTGGGCTGATCAGACAGCTGTTACTGTAGTCTCCTACAGCTTTTATATGCAGATATTGCAAATAGAGTTATGTTACAACATGAGGGTAAAAGACAAAATATATCATCTGACTGAATAATTTTTTCTGGGGCTAAGACATGCAGTATGTTGGCTGTGGGTGAACAACAATTACAGATTCATTTTTCAGTCTAGGCTGTACATGTACACATAAAGAGAACATCATACAAGTCACAAAGCTAATGTTGGCATGAGACAAGGCACACCCGTGGAAACATGAGCAGAGTCCTGATTAATTAACATGTCATGTAAAGGGATAGCTCTGAGACCTCACACACGGAAAGGCCAGCTTGGGAATATGCCGTGAGGTGCTGGCAAAGCTGAGGACACAGACACAGAATGAATGGAGAGGGTTCTATTCAACGAACTGCAAGTTCACTAATTGTGTTATCTACTACACACTGTACTATTCAGAGTATCACATCACCATAAAGGCTTTTACAGGCACGAACACTGGGGTGATGAGATAAATAAAAAATTCAACATGGATTAAATCCTCTACGTCAGTTCCTCAGCATCTGACCATCTCAAATGCCATTTTAAAAGACAGTACTTTGTAAATTAAAGTCTGATTCCATCAAAGTTAATGTTAATGACCTAATTTGACCAGAAATGTTAAAAAGACATAAGAAAACAAACATTTTTTGTTTGTTCATCATGTAAAATGTTAGCTGATGAGTAATTTAATTGTTTGATTTAGATTAATTTAAAGATCTTGGCTAAGTGTGAGATCAGTTTTAGATTTAGCCCCCTAGAAACAAGAAAGTAAATCTCAAGATCCACCTCACCACACAAATGCAGATGAAAGCTCTGGGAAAAGCTACTAAGTTGATTGTATGTTAAGGTTTCTTTGATCCAGATTTTATAAATTTTGGTTTTAGGTAAATTTGACAAACCAACTTCAACTCTGAACTCGACAGAACATGGCGTCACAAGCTAAATGAAGAAATGGATGCTACTGCGCTGCAGCTACAACAAGAGACAAAGCTACCGTGTCTGATTTCACCTCATTCACCTCCTTCCACTCACGCAAAGCACACAAAACATGAATAAACTGGTCCACACAAGCCAGGAAAGCAGGACACACAGTGGAGTAGGCTGTGCTGACTAATGAAAGTTAACTCTATGGCGAGACCAGAGTCTTTTCCAGTAATGTCACCATGGTCATCATCTTAAGTTTTGATTAACTATTTTTTAATATAAAAAATAATAGCAAAAAAGGCAATTTAACAAATGGGTCAAAGAGCAACTGCACCCGGTCTAAAAATCCTGCTTGACCTCACTTTTTTTACTGAAATTTTTTGAACAGAGAAAACAGAGGTTACTCAGTCAGATGTTAGAAACCTAAGTCTTCTAGCATTCATGCCTCTTCCTCCTCTGAAGTCAGAGGTTAAATGTCATTTTTTTCCCACCAAGTGAAGAACATTGATTATGTTGGTACAGTTGTGAGAGGATTCCTCTGGAGTCAGCAGTTTGTTTTTCAGAGGTTTTTTTTGTTAGTTTTTTATTTTATTTTATTGCAGACATAAAAATCTTCAGAAGGTATGCATCACTCTTACTGCAGCAGGCGGGAATATTTCAAGAAAAAAGAAGTGAAAAAGAAATCAAGTTGCAGGTCGAGAACTTCTGAAACTAAATCACCTACTTCTCTGGACAGATGAACAAAATCAAAACATACTGTATGAAATGTACCGTACAGACATGGCTCGCTGACACTGATCCAAGCTCCTTAACATGTTTATTTAATGTTGTGCTGCTCTAGTATCACTTCAGGTGTGAACCAATCCACTGGTTACTAAGAAAGGATTATGAGAAAATGGGCCTCAGGTCACACACAGGGAAAAGGCCGCCCACCACTCCTACATACAGCAGGACCCAAGACTAAAAGAGAAACAGTGCTCTGCATGCATTTGTAATCATCTTGTAGCTTTTTGTGGCCATTTTGTGTCTCTTTGTTTTCTGTCTCTGTTTTGTGTCATTGCTGTTCGGTAATACATCCATGCCAGTTGCATACAAACAGGTCTACATGTACAGTATGTACAGTATGTAAAGTACTTTATTCATCCAAACACACACACACACATAAATGCATGCAATGGTAGTATTATTATCTCCACCAGCAAAACGCACACACACTCACTCCCTACTGACTGAGGCAAGGAGCTGAATTCATACTTTCTCGCTCGCTCGCTCGCTCTCACTCTCTCTCTCTCTCACGCACAACGTTTCTTGCTTGCTTTGCTTTTGCACCAAACACAGGGCCACTTGCTGTGCTGAGATATCTACATGTTTATTACTGTGTGTGTGTGTGAACTTTGTATTACTTACACTGTGAGCACACTCACACTGTGGGGACTTGGCCTCTCGTGTGGACCATATCTGTGTTTTGTGCTAGCTCAGCCTCACGGTTAACTGCAAACTTACCAAGAACTGCAGTTATTTCTGTCCAGAACCCTTCTCTCACTTTTCATATGCTCATGAAGTGGAGTTACAAAACCTTTAAATAAAAATTAATTTGTTAAACTAAAATATTTTCAGTTCAATCAGACACACTTTCACTTCAGCTTGTGCCACCCTGAGCGAAACGTGTTCGTGTACACTTTTTCTTTACATTGATATGTTACTTCTAAAGTTTACTGAGCATTTAATCTGATGATGCATTGGTAGAAGCAACATTTATAGGTTGCACAGCTGCATATATTGTCAGTAGAAGGATGTGTGGATGTGAACAGATCCTAGTTGAAAATGAATACACAAAAGGCAGGAGGAAATAATACAACAAAGAACTGGGCTTCCTGGTTTTCAGAAAATTATCCCGTTAAGTATGTGGCTACAGCTTATGTCAGTACATTGGCTGTGTGAGGCAAAAAAATGAGGACAGCTAAAATGTTGAGTGACCAAGTTTGCTCGGATTGAGTGAGCTACAAATTAGCTTCTTGCTCAATCGCGTCTTAATAATGGGGAAATGATTTGCTCTAGTTTTGCTATATTTTTTTTTACCATAAATGAAATAAAACTTTCATGTATAGATGAGATAACATAATTTGTTGTCTAACCATATGGTTCCTTTGCTAAACTGTAGGTTCAAGCTATATGCCACACATTATAGAGACCTGACAGCACTGCAAGTAACAAAAGCAAGAATGAGACACAGTGTTTCGAGTTAAATGCACCGGATCATCACTGACAACGCTATTCTTTCATCCACCGCTTACATCCAAATTCATGTTTGTTCATGAGTCATGAGAGGGCAAAGAAGAACACAAAAGGTCTGAAGAATGGGCAAGAATTAGAATAGATTCAGCCTCAGCATTGAGTCAGTGATATGCTGTTTCTTCTTCAGGATGGCTATGATGAGGGAATGTGAATCTCTATTAAATCTGAGTCACGCTGATGCTTTCATGTGGCTTCTGGCTGGTTAGGAAACAATTTGATGTTGAACAAAGCTTCCTGTTCTTTCCCCTTCGAGGACTGTGTAAAACGATTGACGTAGTTCAGAATCGGTCCACACCTACTCAGCATACATAGTTTTTATCTGCTCACTGAGTCTAAGTGGGATCTGTGGCAGCGCATCCATTCACTACTGCATCTTTGTCATCGCCTTTGCAATGTATTTTTATGTAGACAGTCGAGGAATTGATTGAAAGACGGAAGTTGAGAAAGTCAACCCACGCAACCATGTGTTTGTGACTAAACCAAACCAAACCCTTCTCATATTTGAGAGTTTTATGACAGGGTAGGGTATAAAATACCAGATGGGCTAGATTCAGCCCACTCAGGCCATAAGATCAGAAAGCAGCCCACTGACGCCATGAGATCAGGGATATTACGGAAACCAGAATGGAAGTGTGTCCTCAAAATCATAATGGGATACTGCTGTAGACAGCTGCACCCTATTTCTAGGGTTTTAAGCTTGTAAAGGTCAGAGAGAGTAGGCTTTTCTGAGATACTACAGAAAAATGTTTATGGAAATGCATTTTAAGCAGCTGAGTATGACTCAGAGTAAATCTGATGATCTGATGCATCATATCACACATTTCCCTTCTTGATTAGCACATTACAGAGACACTATCTTCTGTGCAATTACATTTCCTAGTGTTTCAGCTGCCTACATGACGGATTCAGCTATAGCACCATAAAACCTAACAGAAGGCACACTAGATGCATCATGACCTAATTTCACTGACATCACAGCTGCCTCTGGGGAGACAAAACAAGGTGACTGGAGATGGCAGGTAGTGCGGAGACAACTCGATCCATCTCAGGTTGCTGTCCCATGAAGGGGCACCACGGGCTGCTGCTGGAGCCAGACGGGACCTGGTGTGCTTCTGTCAGGTGCCTCAGGGAGTTGCCACATGGTTGGACTCAGCAGTGAGGAGAGGGTTATTCTATTGTTCATTTCACATTCTCAAAGGTTATTTTTTCATGTGATAATTGTTTAGTTTGTTGTATATCAGGGACGACTTTTTAAAATGTATTGTAAATGAGATGACGTTAATTCAAAGTTTGTGTTGGATTATATGATTTTAGTGCTATTAATACATTTATATTACAAATTAGACAGTTATTGCATCGTCTTTACTGTTTCAAGAAATTCTAGGTTTTCTGAAACAATTCATGTCCCAATCACAGTTTATGAATTACAGAGGAATAAGTTTTACATGCCTTAAGCTGTCTCATTCAATCCACATGCATTTTTCATTTCAGTATTTACAGTATAAGACAAAGATAGGAGGAAATTCACATCTTGGATATTATCCTGTACCCTCAAGGGATGAACGACAGAGAATTTATGAATATAAATGTGCTCACCCAAAAGTGATTCCCAGATTCCAGAGTCTTCCCCCAAGTCATCCTCTTAGTGATGAGATCTGAAACTTCATATCCACTGCATCAGGTTAAAAAACTGTTCACCATCACATTCTGCAAACCTGGAAACCTCAGCTCTGTGTGTCTGAAATGTATAGTAATTTTATTATGGGACAAAGCATTTAATTTTTGAAATGAATAATTAGTTTGTAATAATGATTACAGCTAGAAATCTTTGATAAATTTAATCACAGTCAGAAGTTAAAAGCAGCATGTAACGTTTTCTAAGTAGCTGAAAAATCCCCTAAACATATCTTAATGTGGAGAGCTGTTGTGAAAGCTTTCTGTGACCCGGTCTCACTGAACAGCCTGGCACCAGTGTAGACATATCTCCTTCTAAGGTTTCTGGGGTGAGACCTTTAGGAATGTGAGGAAAAGCCACAACAACTTTGGTAATTAACAAATATTGAATCAAAAGAGAAGATGACAAACCATAACTTAAAGTGTAGTTCAGTGTTGTGTCTTCATATTCAAGCATACCTGGTAAGTCAACCAATGTGGCATAATATCCATATCCAGAGAAATAGGTACATTTATTAAAAGAATTAAATAACGGTGAGCATGGAAAATAAATATTAGGAGAGTCTGACTATGTGCAAGAAGGACTCAGAGAGAGACTGCCAGACTTTTTGCAAGAACCATAAACAGCGTAGGACTCATGCAAACAGAAACAGAGATTTGTTTTTGAAACTGTTTTGCAATGGAAAATATCCACCCAGCAGCCAGGGTGTCTGTGAGGAAAACATTATGAAGTTAATGACAGTGAGTAACATGACATTCACATGCATTGCGCACACACACACACACACACAAACACAAACACAAACACCACAGATTGAAGGTTATACTTTATCAACCTACTCATTCCCCATATTGCTTAGCACATTACAACACTAAACATAATCTATGAATGCTCATCGTTGATGTTTACATTGTGCTTTGATTTAGCAGCTTATTCAAGTTTTTAATAGAACATTCCAAGTTACACCATAAAGAAGAACATAAGGAAGAAGATGAGAAGAAAAAAGTAAATGAGTGGCATACATGAACTATACAGCTTTTTGAATATGTGACTGACCACCCTGATAGGCCCCGATAAACTGAAAGGCTGGTCACCTATCTTTTATTTTGTATGGTAAGTTATTGATGAGTCTGGTGTGTTTAATCTCGTGGAGTTTCTTCTAACTTTGTAAATAAAACATGTTTTCATGTACAGTGGATTCAAAGAGGATTCAACCCATTCACTTCTTTGCAGGATTTCTTGTGTGAAGATTTAATTTAAAATACTTGACCAGCTGCATCACTGTCTAGTACGGCAGCACTACTGCTATGGACCACAAGCGCCTGCAGAGAGTGGTAAAGGCTGCAGAGAAGATCACCAGGACTCCACTGCCCTCTCTGCAGAACATTTACCACCGCAGGGTGTATAGGAAGGCTGCCTCCATCCTCAAAGATCCCACCCACCCCCATCACGGACTGTTCGCCTCCCTACCCTCTGGCCGGAGGTTCAGAAGTGTGAACTCTATTATATTCTTATATATTTTTATTATATTGCTGCATTTGCTGCTTAAAATGCCTTAGATTTTGTATTACTTATTTATCTACTTTATATTTCATTTGTATTTTGTGGCATTCATGTGGACGGCAAAGTAAGAATTTCATTGTAGAGGGAAACACGTTTCCTAACTGTGCATATGACAAATAAACACTTTGACCTTGACCTTTGCTGAGAAGCACCCCCATAACATGAGGCTGCCACTGCCATGCTTCACATTAAGGATGGCATTGCTTTGTTGTTACAATTATGTGTAGACTGTCACCCAACAAAGTCCATTTGATCCATTCGGAATAAAACATAATATAGTAAAAGTGTAGGTGTCTAAATACTTTGCAGTGATTGTATCCGTATACATGGTACATGAATCTTTGGTGCACGGTGAGCCCTACTTTCTCCCACTTCCTTCTAGCAGAAAGTAGAGCAGGACTCACACTCCCTCTTCTGCTTCCTCAGTCTTTTCTGTCACACATACATTCAAACACTAAGTCCACCTCACGTGCATCCACAGTCATCATCACTCAGCTTTGCGTGCACACAGTCACCTCACATGGTATTTTTCCCTGCCTGCACACACAGTTTGCAGCATAGTCACCTTATCTAACCGCACCCCGCGCCGTCTCACATGCACTCTGCTGAGCATGTCTTCTGCTATACCCCTTGTCCCCCCCAGGTCATCTTGGCATCACCACAGAATTCCTCTGCTGCTTCACACAGTACTGCTCAGGTTTTCATCTGTCCAGATATTCAGAGCGTCTTCTCTTTCCCATCACTGTCTTTTCCACAAATCTTTTCTCTTTTAGTCATCTTTCTTCTCCACCTGTCGGATCGGCCATGGGGTTATGAAGGGCACATGCCAGACAACAATGCTCACTGATTTAGGCTACACTCTCTGGGATGTTTAATTACTGTCAATGCTTAGCAGAAAAGGACAAACGATGCCATGTGGATGAATCATCTTTCTCTTACACTTGTATTTCTAACACATATGCAACAAAATGGCAAGAAAAGTTAAAAAGCAAAGCAAATTAAAGCAACTAAATCAAAAATAGAAATCAATAGCAATTAACATTTCATCAAAATATATTTTTAAGTGAATTTTTAAGAGAGTCAAAGATGCTCACAATATTTGTTCCATAGATTTTAAACTGTAGGGGCATGCGGTGTCTTAATACATACAGTAGGTGCTGATTCACTCCCTTGGGTGAATAAGTGAGACAAAATAAAGAAACTGTATTTGTGTTTGGGAAATGGCTATAAAACAGGTTTGAGGTGACTATGGACGAATGTGGTATTTTGGCTGCTTACCTTTTTTGTTGCTGTTGTTGCCAAATTTAAACTCTACCATTGTGGACATGAGACCAAGTAGTAATTATCTGAAGAATGAAGTAAGGTTTCTGGTTAAGAAAACAAAACAAAACAAAACAAAAAGAAAAAAACAGATGACTGTATTTTGCACATGCTAAACTAAATGTTTTGACTTTGTGCTGCATGTTTATATAAACTGGAAAGCAGGTTTTTGAGCACAGAAGTTCAATAAAAGCAAAAATCTCATCCCAAGATCAAAATAGTAGCGATTTGGAGCTTTTCACCACATTTTTCATCAGTGATTAGAACTAGCTTAGGTATCATCATGAGATCTACAGTAAATGTGAATTTATTAAATCATTCTTTTCATTACTTGTGCAGACAGAGCCGGTATATGTGCAGGGTGAAAGTTGCCAAACAGGCTGAAATCATTACCATTTTCCAGATAAGAGGATCACATTTCTGTTGGATTAAAATTAATTCTGTAGGAGAATGTTTTCCTGAAGCCAACTCAGTCATCATCCAGTAATGAGATATTTTCCCATGTAAATAACTTTTCAAAAACAACCTCCAAGGATAGTTTTCCTCTTCTGTGACAGCTTTCACAAAATACAGCAACTCTAAATAAGCAACAGGAAGGAGGAGGAGAGGTTGTGTGATGGAGTTAAACATTGTGAACATCCTCTCTCCCAGACTTAGAGACACATTGTGCGGTCAAATACACAGATCATCCAGATGGGCCACTTGTAAACAGACTGCACATGGAAAAGTCTCCAAAAATTAAGGTTAAAGTGGAGGTGGATTTGTTGTTTGTAAGACGACGCTCAGTGCTGCAGCTCCTTGACAGCAGCTCTGCAATGCTTCATTAAACTTCAGAGTTAATGGTTTAGTTATAAAAGCCTTCTACATTTACCGTTTCCTGTACTGGGCAAAGAGCTACAAGCCTGACATCAACCTGGAGCAGGCACCACAACAGGAGCTCGGCAACACTTCTGCATGTCCTCGTTTTCCCGGCTTCCTCATTTGCATCTACAAATCCTGGTGGATTTAGAGTCGGTCTTGACGGGATACAAAAAGCAAGCATGACACAAAAAATAAAAGCAGCCAGAAGTGAAACCAATAAACATGTAGTAATACTGAAGCAGTGCGGATAAATGTGGGGGTTTGTGTCATCATTTCCTTATAAATCCCTCTCCAGACAGTGACACCAGCCTGGCAGCTAATGACATCAAAACACTTATAAGAACCGGAGCAGTAGTTATGTCATTTATCATCTAACTTCAAAGGTGGTTTGATGAAACACTAACCTTCTCCCCTGCTGAGTAAAGGTAAAAGTCTAACCTTTTTGTAATCCCAAAGAAAACCATTTGGGTAAAATAAAATTAGCCTTTTTCTGGAACTGTTGTTCTTCAAATCCTTAGACAGTAAACTTTTAATAGTGAGTTAAACGATTGGCTGCAGAACTACTGGAACAGAGCTGATATGTACAGCAAAAGGCTGCAGAACTACTGGAACAGAGCTGAGGTCCTGATCTCAACTACATGATCAATGTTCCTGTTGTTCAGGAACAGTCAACATCTGCAGAAGTTTGCATAGAGTTTGAACCTTTCATGATTTTCACATTTGTTGGTTTCTTGTCTTCACTGTTTGCTTTCGTTAGCAGTCCAGTGCATTAAGGATGTCAGATTAGAGTTTTCGGCCTCTGTGCTATGGAGCTGTTTTGCATGAGTAGGTGCCTGTTTTGTCTTGTGCACATTGGTGATATACATATATTCCTGCCACTGGTTTCCACTCTTCCACTGATCTACAGATGGCTGTAACGTGCCAAGAAATCTTCAACAAAACCAACACTGTGTTGTTTTCTTAACTCTGAATTTTATCCTGCCCTAGTGAAAAGGTCTTATTGAGGTTTTATCCAACCTCTCCACTGGTAATACAGCCCACACACACACACACACACACACACACACACACATACACACACCATGGCCCTCCATCACTGGCAGGAATGGAGCAGGGCTTTTGTGCTTTAGGGGCCATGAACACATAAAAAAACTAATGTACTCTGGCTTCACTATTCAGATCTTTGCTCAAACCCTCTCGTTCTCTCTCTCTCTCTCTCTCTCACACACATACACACACACACACACACACACACACACACACAGTACATCGGCTCCTGTCTGGCCTGGGGCTGCACAGCACAGTAATTAGGCCTGTTTTGTGCTGATAGAGAAGCAGTAATGTGATACACACACTTCTGTGATTAAAGACAGAACTGACAGCAAAAACAGAGGAACGACCAGAAGAGGGAAGAAAACCTGAGGAAACAGGGAAGCAAAAAACCTGATGTTGTATCTAATATATGCTGTTTGGGAAGGAAACTGACCCAAAGAACATCTGATGCTATGTGGTTATGTAAAAAACCTGCACTACTTTTTGCCAAAGAATTTAAACTTCATATGAAATGTTGCCCAGTAAAGAAGGATTTATTTTATAAAATATAATATGGACACATACATAGAAGAATCAGCATACATATATAATTTGTTTTTGTGGTGAAGTGGTGGTAGGGCCAGACGGCACTACCCTGGGGTGAGGGTGAGGGCGAGAGGGGGAGAGAGCAAGCATTGCCACTTCATGCTGTTAACTTCTGTTGTCACTCCATGGATCACAGATTAGCCCAATAAGCTAACAAGGCCAATAATCAAACAGAATTTGATATTTTAAAAGTTTGTACTGCACACTTAGGTCTGTTGTATCTGAGAAGTACATCACCTATATGTGCGTGTCAAAGCACCAGAGCAACAGTTTGCTCTATTTGACGCCATTACAATATAAGCTGTAGGATTTGCTTTGGTCAAATCCTGGTCAAAGGTTACAGAAAGCGCCAAAGAAATCAAAATAACTGAAATACTTCAAAGTAATCAAAAAGGAAGGAAGTATTGCATAAACATTTGAAAAGCTGTCAAAGAGCAGCTTCTTCAGTCCACATGCCAAAGTTTCCTTGAGCAAGACACTTGAGTCCCCATTTGCTCCTGGTCATGACACCTGTGCGTGAATGGCCAAATAGTGCAAAAGTGCTTTGAGTGCGCTGCAATGCATAGAAAAGCGCTCTACAAGTATAAGACCATTTACCATTTAAAATATGTTTATTGAAAAATGCAGTAAATGTGCAATGCTGACTTTGTTAACTTAAACAGTTGGCTACTAAACAGCCCAGATGTTCCACAGCAGAAGCCTTTTGAATGGGTGACAGAATTTTTTAGGATTTGGTATTAAGTATTTGTAAGATACATACCGTGTCAGAAAATTGTGGTTCTGTGCATGTATCTTACACAACCTGTGTGACTGTGCATTGGTAAAAGTGATTCTTCAAACTCTTCAAAAAGTATTTTAACTAAATGGCAGTTCAGTTTCTCACACAGCCCTCAGGCTCTC